GTTGTTGTTGTGTGTGTGTGTGTGTGTGTGTGTGTGTAGAGAGAGAGAGAGAGAGAGAGAGAGAGAGAGAGAGAGAGATTGTGAATTACCAGCAAGCTTCTGGGCTCGAAGAATGTTCTGCCTCCTCTTCCACATGCAAATAGAGAAGACAACAATGAGTAAGAAAATGAGAATGATCCCAAATGCGATTCCTGCCTTTGAACCCGCAGAGAGGTGAGGGCCACATGAAGGCAGTCCTGGTATCCCACAAAGCCCAGCATTACCAGTAAAGCTGTAGAAGAAAGAGTGTTAAGCTTCACGCTCAGATGAATTCTTTATGAAGAAATGTGATTGTAGAATGCTCGTAGGATTCACTGAAATTAAGAAATGGGTTCATCTCTTCCACATTTTCTTTTATTTTTGGGGAAATTCACAGGTAAATCCTATTTTATTTTTTATATTTAGAAATAATACCTATCTATTTCGCATTTTACGACAAGTCCTATTTTTAAGAATATAAAATATTTTATTTTTATCTCTTCCTCTATGCATCGTATTAAGCTCAAATTTGGTATGTCCACGCTTCTCATCATCATACACCTATAAAATATATTTAAAAAATTTACTTGAAATAATAAAATTAACAAACCACCCCTATATTATTCAAGGGAAGTGTGATAGTTTTATTTATTTAAAATTATTTTTAAATTTTTTTTATGTGTATGATTATGATAAATATGGACATACCAAATTTGAGATTAACCTAATGCATAATAAAGTATATAAAATTAAAAGACACTACCTGATTATAAAATATGAAATATTTAGGACTATTTTTAAATATTAAAAATAAAATAGGAGTTATATTTAAATTTCCCCTATTTTTGCATGCATAAGAATACCCATATATTGTATAACAACCTTAAAAAAGGAAACAAGAAAAGAACAAAGACAAATGTTTCCCTTATTTTTAAATGCATAAGAATACCCATATATTGTATAACAACTTTAAAAAAGGAAACAAGAAAAGAAGAAAGACAAATAACAAATGTTTCAAAGACATTGAACCCAACCAGATCATCTCTCTCTCTCTCTCTTTAACCCAACAACTTCCACTCATCAACCAAAACTTTTCGCAAGAGAAAATCATGTCTTACTTGAAGCTAGCTCTGTGGAGAGGCCTGCCTCCAAGTGCAGCAGGGACTCTCCCAGACAATAGATTCCCATTAAGATCCCTGCATTGCATAACATGTAAGCATAGCACCACCATTGATCAGTCTGATTCTGATAAAACATGCGATCTGCACAAAGATCTTTGCTAAAGAGTACTATATAATCAACTAGACCATTGAAAAAGAGAGTCCATTGGGATCATGACTGTTCAATGAAATAATGTACAGTGATGATGGGCTCACTTTCTCTCAACAAGCGTCCAACAATTCATTGGACAATCAAGGCCCCAATGGACTATGGTTTTCCCAAGTCCATTTGGCTGTAATACATTTTCCCAAATCATTACTCACAATGTGTGCAGCATTGTTAACTGGCCTAAACTTTCAGGAATTGAACCGTTCAGCATGTTGTATGAGAGGTCTCTGTGCGAAGCCACCATGTTAACATTCACAATAAAATCATACAGCTTGTTAGGATTGAGTTAGCATCAATTTCATCATGCAATTGATGGGACAATATGGCCATACACCAGTTGGGCATGTTACATTGCACGCCTAACCATTGCACACTCGATTTAATGGATGGTGGAGATTAACCATTTTTTACAGTTCGTCTCCATCATCCATTGTAGGGAGAGGATGGTGTATACAATAAACAACAGGAATACGGTTACTTTCCCACTTTCGAAGCCAAGTTACTCATGAAAAATTGCTTTTCAAACCAATCAAATGTATACAATAAATAAAACACAAAGGTTCAAAATCTATAACAGGAGCTAGAGTTTAGATATTAAATTGAGTTGGAGTTGTCAGAATATATAGGTCCCACTTACAAGCTTTCCAACTCAGTTATTGCTCCAATTGAATAAGGTATGCTCCCATGAATGCTGTTCCCACTTAAGTTTCTACAAGAATAAGATAGGAAAATATCAGTACGGCATAATGATGAGAGTTCAAAGAAATGCGCTGCAACTCACACTTAATGCTCTGATTAATGCGCTTTATCTAAGACAAAAGAATGTGGCAATAATGCAAAAAGTCAACAAGCAACTGTAGAGGTCACTATAATGTTAGAATCAACATGAAGTGTCAGTTTTAAATGGGTTCCCATCCACATGAGATATTTTATGAAAATTATAGAAAGGATCATATCGCCCATGTACTCTACTTTTACAAAGACATAAAGAAAATTACAAGAATCTTTTACAACAGTAAAAGGTACAGAGAGAGACAGATATCATCTATACAAGAAAATGAAAGTTACTATTGTGAAGAGAATACATATTTTGTAAATGCTTCAGATTGGCGATGTCATCAGGCAAGAAACCCTTCAAACCTTGGTTGTCAAGACCACTGCACAAACAATTCAGAACTCAAATTACTCTGGTACACAAGCTAGATAACGATCAAGGAAAATTGAATACACATTTAGCACAAACAAAGCACTACCAGAAACCAATCAAGAGATCCAGGAAGAAAGGAAAAGATACTCCATAATAATAACAAATCATGGCCAAAATATAAAAGGACTAGACATGGTGACTTCAAATAACACTACAAGAACTGTAGAGTGCAGAACGATGAGAATGAGAGATTTCATGTGAGAAACTAATGATTTCCTATTTTTATGCAGTGTGCATGTCGTATAGGGGCGAAATTTTCCATATTTTATTCTTTATTTGCTGAGCATGTATGCCATGCTCCCTCAGGAGCATAGTCTACTTCTACTCCGTCAGTCAGAAGATCTACTTGGGAGGATCTTTTCAATCTGAAATTTTGGGATCCACCTAGAAATCACAAATGATTATTCTCAAAAGAAAAAAAATTGAAATTTGAGTTGTCTAACACTTAGATCTCACCATTTAAAAATTGTATTGTCTTTATTCAATCTCGAGATACTATTATTTTCAAGTGAATTTTTGTTTTTTATTGATGTTAATCAATGGGTCAAAGAGGTTACATCTCCAAAATTTGGTCCTAAAATGAATTCTATGTGGGGTTTTACCAGAGGGAATAAGTGGACAATATACTCCTGCGGGAGTATAATATCTTTTGGCACATCTGTTTACTTGCTCGAAGGGCATATACAAACTTTGATTAGCCTTTTATTGTTTGTCTAAGCTAAGCTGAGTGCTAAATCATCATGGTGGCAGAGCAACGTGTGATTCTCCAGATCCTACGCAGTTTTGGGTCAGTGTAGACCCTCAGATCAAAGAATCCCTTTGTCCATTGTGAGATCAAAATAGATCTTGGCGATTCAAAATCTATCAATCGTAACAGAAATGACAAACTTTTGTTATTTGTTTGTTTTGATAACAATTTTTTGCTAAAGCATTGTTCATTGGGATACAATATCAAAGCAAACACAAAAGCAAGTGATTAGATAATCTTTTTATAGCATACCACGCAGAAAGCATTGAAGGAGCCTTAAACTCCCCCAACTTTTTGTCTAGTAAGTCCACCCCAACCTATTAATTTTTATGTCTTTTGGCATTTTATTCAAGCAACATAGATATTTTGTACTTTTGTAAGTTGGAGGACCCACAACGTATATTCTATCCCTTTCAATGCTACACACATGTACACAGTCGAAGTTCTACACTTAAAGCAAGGGTCTTAGTGCCTGTCACCCCTTCCCAAAGATTAGCTTGTTTGGGTTATAGAAAAGAGAGAAATGATGCTCTCTCATTTAACCTTTTAAACAAATTGGAAGTTTTTTTGCATTTTCCAAGAATTGTTCCATCATCATCATTATCATCATATCCTTTTTCCAACTATTTAGGGTTGGCTATACGAATTATGGTCCACCATTCTGCTTTATAAAAGAACTATACCCTTAGTGAGGCCATAAGTTCCCATATCTTTTCTCAATACTTCCAACTATGTCCTTTTGGGAGTGCCCATTGCCTTGTTTTAGCCTTCCACTTAAACCAACTCGTACCTCCTAACAGTATCGTATTGGGCCTATGCTGCACATGGCCAACCAACTTAATCTACTTTCTCTCAGCTTATCGCCTATTAGACATTGAAGTTCTCCTTAATGTATTCATTTCAAATTATATCCCTTCTTGTCTTGCCACTCACCCATCTCAACATTCTCATCTCAGCTACACTCATCCTATGAGTATGTTCTAAATAATTCAAACCAATCCCTACAACACTATAGTTTGGGTTATCCATGTATAAGTTGGTGTGATCTTAATAGCTAAGCATCATGCATGAACTTGTTGAAGCCAATCTCCATTATTCTTGATTGAAGCACTAAATAATTTAATTATTTAATATGCAAAACTACCAGACTAAGAGACGTCCATCGAAATTTGTAGATGGACCTATTATCAAGCTGTTATTTGAAGAATGAATAGTTCATGAGTGAATTATTGCATGATCTTTAAACACAATGGATATCTTCATGGACGCACCAACACCCAAAAAGATTCTTGGATTATTTGAAGAAAGTATACCAGCAAGTCAATACTACTCAATTTGAGCTAAAAGTAGTCTTTCCAAGAAGACCTAATACCATAGTCATTGGGAGAAGGGTATCAAGTATCAAAAAATGTTGGGTACCTTAAGAAATTACTCATATATATGAGTACCTTATTATAACCCTATATATATATATATATATATATATATATATATATATATATAT